GGCAATATTAAAAATTGGGATGATCATCTACCTCATATAGAGTTTGCTTATAATAGAGTAGTTCACAAGACTACTAAACTTTCTCCTTTTGAGGTTGTTTATGGTTTTAACCCTATCACACCGCTTGATTTACTTCCTCTTCCAGATTCATCTTCTTTTCTTCATAAAGAAGGTATTTCTAAAGCGGAATTTATCAAAAAGTTACATGAAAAGGTTAAAACCCATATTGAAAAACAAACTCAAAAATATTCTGACTACAACAACAAAGGGAGAAAACAAGTAATCCTTAAAGAGGGAGACTTAGTTTGGCTTCACTTGAGAAAGGAAAGATTTCCTTCTCAACGTAAATCCAAATTAAGCCCAAGAGGTGATGGTCCTTTCAAAGTGGTCAAGAAAATAAATGATAATGCATATCAATTAGACCTTCTTGAAAGTTATGGCGTCAGTCCTACTTTTAACATTTGTGATTTAATTCCTTTCACAGGAGATGCCCAACAGGATTCCCAAGATCTGAGGACAGATCTTTTTCAAGAGGGAGGGACTGATGGAGGACCATCTAAGCTTAACATAGGACCTTTAACAAGAGCCATGTCCAAGAGAATCCAAGAGGAAGAGGGAGCACTCACTACCTTACTCTCATGGAGTATTACTTACTAAGTTCTCTTTCTCTTTGCTAAATACTTTTACATTGCTTTTGTAGAATATTAATAAAAGGGAGGAACCATGTCTATGCAACTTAAAAAGGTTGCCACCAAAGAAGCACAAATGGATGGTTGGTGCTCAATTGAATGGTCATTTTCCCTTGACATTTCTTTTTAGGTGTGACACATTCGTTTTTATTATTCATCTTTTTCTTTTTAGGTTGAGTAGAATCCTAAAACATCATCAATTAAACAAGTTAGGCAATAGATGAAATATGTTCATAAATATGAATGAATACAATTGTATAAACATACCTCATCACTAATCTGTATGAAATTCTTTGGTCATGCCACAAATGTACCTATTGCTTGTCCTATTGTCATCATCATCATCTTCATCAATTGGTATAGGTAAGGATACATTTGGCTCCAAAGCAATATTTATACTAACTTTGACATGTCCCTTAGGTAGAAGTCTGCCATGTATTGTATCACTTTTAAAATTATGCAATTTTCCATGGGCAACCAACCAAAGTGATGGTGATAATGTAAAAATTTTCAACTTGAGACCCTCTACATTATAAAACATAATTATAAGACAATCTTCAATGTGATTCCTATGAAAGTTTAAAGTAAGAAAATTAAAATATATATGAAAGTAATGTAGATAAGTTATTTACCTCGGGAAAACTATTTGATGACAATGTGCAACTCCTTGGCCACTATTAATATTAAATTCTTTAGTAGTATTTGGTGTGCCATTTTTTCGAAGCATCTCATTTTCCATTCGTGCAATTCTTTTCGACATGTCTTCCAATTGAGTAGTTAATTTATCATGCTCATGGTGTGTATGATGCTTTTTGGACGGGAAATAATATTTATGACCGACTCCAAATCTCATTCCCCTAGCACGACCTAGATACTCTAGGAGACATAAAGCTTGACTTAGAATGTCGGAGTGATCATTACTCATCTCTTCTGAATTAGTTTGTGATCATTGAACCTAAACAAGAACCAATAGAGATTCATAACTGTCTAAATCAAATGTTGGCCTATCATATTCTACCATTCACTTGGAACTAATTGTCATTGCAGATAGGTTAGGGCTTTTGCAACATGTGGATAATATTCAGGTTACAACAGAATGGAAATCAGCCTATTATAAAACTTTGAAGGAAATATCATGGACAAAAAAGCAATTTCAGGTGGTACATTTCTACTGGTGCTGCAATTGATTCAGTTTTTTTAAGTGATTTTCTAAACTAGAGTAATTGTAGGGTGGACCAGGAAGGATAACAATTGTTATCGAGGTAAATTATTTATCACTTATATGTAAATTTCGAAAGGAGAAAACAAGCAAAATAAAACTTTATTTCAAAATCAACCTTTGCTTGTCTTTCTAAGATTTCTTGTTTATAAATAATTGTTCTATGCTAATCCTCATTTTAAACTATATAACAAATCATTAATGTAACTAACGTAAACCAATTCTATACCATGTACTAAGCTAAGCCAATTTACAAAATTCAATTTCAAATTACAAGCGGTCTATACAAACTTAAAACACCAAATAGAATTCAAGTCAAGTAACATGGCAACACATTTTACCACTAAGCACTATATCATATCAGATACCATAATAACCATTCATTAATCCAACATCATTAAGCAAATAGAGAAGACAAAAATTTATCAAAATAGCTAAGCAATCCATATAAAAGTTAGCTCATTCTTCCTAGAGTATACCAATACAATGAGTCCAACAGTTTTGAAACACCATAAAAGACCATCAGAGTTGCACATTAGTTATCTTTCAATGCCAAATCACATTAGTTGCAACATTACACTCATTAACCAATTTCAATTTTACCCAAGTATTATCAACCAATAATTTAATTGTCAAAACTAATTCCAAATAAATTTGAACAATCCAAAAATAGTTTAATACCAAATATATGTAAACCGGAATACATTGAACATATCCTATGCATTCTGTAAAAAATATTTATCGTGCCAAACACCAACACTCATCAATCACATTGACACATTACTCATAATATGTAATCACAACTTTCACAAGTGTAACTCTCAATTACCATTCAATTTTTTTTCTTTTTATATATATATATATATTCTACTAAATTAGTTTCTTCAAGTCACTATTCCCAAGGTAGTAGCGTTTAATAAGTTCAAAAGTTTCAGCTTGTGTTTCATTTTTCTTGTGCTGCTGATTCATTCTGCTTCTTCTTCTTCCTTTGCACATGAAATAAGCTTTTTGCTTCTTCGTTGCTTCCTCGCGCCATTGCTTCTTTGCTGCTTCCTCACGCCATTGCTTCTTCTGTGTCGCCACCACTGTTGCTTCGTCGCCGCGGCCGCTGTAGTGCGTCATTTTATTTGTGTCGCCTCTATCATCGCCGCTTCGCTGCCTTGGTCGCTACCGTCGTAGTCGTTGCTTCCCGCGCCCTCACTGTGCATCACGGTAAGTTTTTGAAATGTCTTTAATATTAATTTGAGTTGGTCTGTTGGTTGAAACTATTCCAGTGTCCTGCTCTGTGCGTTTTGCTTCATAATTTGTTATGGAAACATGTAATTATTGAAAGGAACAAATTTGGTATATATACTGTGTGGAAGGCTTCTTCTCTAGCTGGCTATGTTTTTTTTTTCGGTGCCTTCTTGTGGTGCCTTTTAGGGATGGAGTTGTTTATACCGATGAAAAACAACTCCTCTAAGCAAAAGTATTTATTTATTAAAAAACAGGAAAGGTCAATAATATATAATATTTGCTGGGATTTAAATTACATTTAAGACAATTATTTTATTAATTTTTAATTGTGTAAGGATAGAAAAGGAAAAAAATGATTAATTTCAATATTACATATAATTTTAATGTTATATCTACTAATTTTAAAATAATCAAACATATTTTATTATATTTTGTTTTTATAGAAAAAGCCCTACTCATAGTACATGAAGATTGTATATGCAAATTGGTGTCTTGAGCCCACGTGGAAGGCTAATTGTTTGAGTGATCAGTTCATCTTAATAAATTTAAATTTTCATTCAGGTGAATAATAAGTTATAAATATATTACTGAATTAACATATACACTTAAAATATAATTATCTTAACTTAAAAAATATTCTTGAATATATACTATAGTATACATTTCTCACATTTGGATCCCATCATCCTTATAATCTTTTGCAGAAATGCTATCAACATGTAATTGAAAACCATGTCCATAAAATACACGGTTAATCATACACACCACAACTTAGTTCCTATAACAGATAGAAATTCAAATCTAAAACTATTCAACTGTTATTTTTACCCAATACAATTTCTCTAATTGATCAAACCAAAAAATAATACTTAATCGGACAACAGAACTCTCCATCAAATTCTCACACACAAGTAATACAATATAGGTTATTACAAAGATAAAAAAAAATGAAGAAAACTAAGTTGCGTTGGGATGGTAGCATAGTTGAACATTTGGGTTCAAGAGTCTATTCAAGTATAAAATATGAGAAGAACTCCAAAAGACTGCCAAATATGAAAAGAACTCCTCCAAGGCCCTTGAGAGCAATTTCCCAGCAATTAAAATTTTTGTCTCCTCAAGACATCAATCATATCAGAGAAATTCTACCATACAAGATAATATAATATACATTCAAATATGTTGTTTGTTTGAATATATTGCATGTTGTATATGTAATTATTTGTTTGCTTGAATATATACTGTTGTTGACAATTAGCCTTAGTTTCCCATTTAAGATTCAATACAAAAATTATCTACTATCTCCAGATTTTTTGAACAAACGTACTTTGTACAAATGAAAATATAGGAGATGGTAATAATAATTTACAAGTATTGAATCTTGAATTATCCAGTTGGACAGTTTAAGAAGAGTAACAACTTTTTCATAGTTTATTATAACATATCAATTTTAATATACATGTCTTAAATTTCATGAAAATTTGCCTGTGTGTTTTGTATTGATCTTCGGGTGCATATTTGATTGTGATTTATAATCACTTTCATTTCGTGTAACCTGAAGACCAATGCGAAATGCTGGCAAAATTTCGTGAAATTTAAGATATGTTGTTTAAAATTGATATGTTTAATGAACTAAAAAAGGTGAATCTTCTTTAATGGGATAGGGTCACACCTTGAATACAAACACGATCAAAGTGGTCATTCAAGATTATTGAAATTGTGTAAACAATTTCAGTAAACATGCGTATGAATCGAGGGTGGATTAATTTACCACGCATCGGCACTGAGTACAAGAGAGGGGTAGAAGAATTTATAGAGTTTGTGCAACGTAATGCGAGTAGAAGTGGTGATGATGAAATCAAGTTCAGATGTCCCTGTGTGAACTATTTGAATGGGAGGAAGTTGAACGCATTTGATATTAGGGAACATGTTATCTGTGATGGTTTCATACGAAGTTATACAACATGGATATGGCACGGCGAATTAACAGACTTTCCAACTGTCTCTCCAACTGAAAATGTATATGATTCCACCATGGATATGGAAGATCGACCAAAAGAAGACAACTTAGAGGACATGATTCGCGATGTTGGCGCAGAAGCTTTGGCCCAAGCCAATGTGTATGAAACGATGTGTACTGATGCAGAGACTCCTTTGTATGTCGGTTCAACTAAGTTCACACAGTTTTCAGCGGGGTTAAGGCTCATGAATTTATAGGCGACCAATGGATGGACTGATAAGAGTTTTACAGAATTGTTGTCGTTGTTAAATGAAATGCTGCCAGATGAAAATACGTTACCCACTCGTAATTATGATGCAAAAAAAAATTCTTTGTCCGATGGGTATGGAGTATAAACGAATACATGTATGTCCGAATGATTGCATATTATATAGGAATGAGAATGAAGTTTTGATAAAGTGTCCAAAATGTGGGTTATCACGATACAAGTCAAAAAACAACGGTGAAGATAGTGGTCACACAGAAAAGAATGGTTCTGCTTTACAAGTAGTTTGGTACCTTCCACTCGTGGCCAGACTTAAACATTTGTTTGCTAATCCCAAAGACGCTAAAAACCTAAGATGGCATGCAGATGAGAGAACAACTGATGGGTTGCTTCGTCATCTAGCTGATTCAAAGCAATGAATCAATATTGATCAAGAATTCCCCCAATTTGGTGGAGAATGTAGAAATCTTAGGTTTGGCTTAGCTACTGATGGAATGAACCCATTTGGTAATTTAAGTACCAATCATAGTTGTTGGCCCATTATAATTTAAGCGCCAATTCCAGCAGCGTTATGAGGATTATGGCAATCGTCCTCCGCCATCTCCTGTAGCGGAACATGTTGTGCCCCCTACAGGTAAACTTAATGATTTTTGTTTATTAATTTACTTTTTGGATAACCTAACATTTAATTTGACAGGTAGAAGCGGTAAAGGAAGTTGCTCAGATACCGGTGCCTTAGGGGACGACATGGATGACACTCGTCCATGTTAGTTATATATTCTCTTTGATATTGGGACCATGTTAGTGGCTCGTGGTACAGTTTATGAGACAACCACTATAGTGCATGGTGTACAACTTGTAGAAGATGAGGTCAAGGTCAAGGTCACGGTGGATGAAGTTGTCGTACCAAATGTTGTTCTTCCTGTGCCTACAGATGAGTTCTTCATTGTGGAAGAGGCATTTAAGTCCTTTGTCGCCTGGCCTAGACATTTGGTTGGTGATGTATCTGATCCTCCGGTAAACACTCATACTATATACTTCTCAATTTTAATATTTATTTCTAATTGACGTTATAACATAAACATTTTTTTATGTAACAACAGATAGGTCAAGAGGGAAGTCCTACACCGAAGAAGACTCATTTATCTGAGGATCACCCTCTTGGTGCGTTAGACGAGCTTGTTAAAATCATTTTAGATGCACCGATGACCATACCTGGGATTCTACTACATTTGGAAGAGAAGCTCAGATCTCATTGTACTTGCATCAGCAAGATGTTAGGGCGCTTCCGTCGGGGAGAGAAGAAATTAATATTACACTCATTCAGCTGTGGATGATGTAAGTTTATGACAACTTTTTTATATAATTATTTTTTGTCAAGTTACTTATATCAGATTATTTCTTCATTTTAGGTATATGTTTGATGTTAGTAACAAGAAGGGGTTCAACGATGTATATGGGTTCATTGACCCCTCTATGACTCATGAAAGAAATAAATTTGATGATATCCAAACATACATCACCACCTGCTTTGGAATGGGGAAGGAGATATATTTTCTCCCTTATATACTTGGGTAAGTGAAGTTTGTTAACTTTAAAGTTTCATTTATTAATTTTGGTATATGAAAATTAAGTTATTACCAATTTCAGGTGTCATTGGCAGCTACTTGTAATCTCCATACAGGAGAAAAAAAAAATCTAGTTTTAATAATTGCACAAGTCTACTACCAACCCTCTTAGACATGTAGTAGATTGGTAAGAACCTCAATGTTTCAACTTTCTTTGTTATATAAATGTATGCTAAAGCAAATTTTTTTAATAGTTCCCTTGCAACACATATGATGTTATCTAGGAGATCTACTGCTACAGCTAAAAAGCTTACAAGGGTTGCCCTTAAGGTTTGGTATTTTAGTCCATACTTTGTTACAATTGGTTCCATTCAAATGATGTTACTTAACATTTTATAATTATGATGATATATTGTAGTGTAATAGACAAATGGGGTCATATGAATGTGGTTACTACGTCATGTTTTGGATGATGACCAAAATTCATACACATTACACCAGTGGATGGGAAACGGTAATATTTATGTTTGAATTTTATTTTCTCTATAGTTTGGATTTCATATACACTAATTGATATCATTGTGTTTTATGCAGAGATTTAATAGGACTGCTCCAATTCTAGAGAAGTCAATTCAACTTGTGAGGAAAACACTTGCTAAATATGTAATTCATTTATATAATAGTATGTAGTAGATATTAGGATATAGTAAGTTCTAAGTTTTTTTATGCTTTTCTACATTATTATAAGTTTAACTTTGTACATTGCATTGACTTATGCTTCAAACTTGATTTATGATTACATTGGATTGATTTATGCTTCTAAGAAGTTGATTTATGATTCCATTCAATATACTTATGTTTTAATATAATTTTCATTCAAAATATACGTTTCTGGATTATTCTGGCTATAAAAATATATGCAGGTATTTTTCTATAGTTGGGAATGTTGCAGAAACAGACCTCATTTTAAAAAAAAACAAGGATATATGCCTCGGCTCAGGTCATAACCGAAGTAGAAAATCCCCTTATGGCCTCGGTTATGACCACACCTGAAGCAGAAAGTCTTACGGATAAGAAATAAAAAATAAAAAAAAGGTCTACTGCCTCGATTCCAGCTACAACCGAGGTCGTAGGGTAGGACATACTGCCTCGGTTCCCCTGAACC